TTCCCATTCATTCCACAAACTCCTGCTGCAGATGTCCCTTTCTGGCCCTCACCCCAGTCAAGACTCCCTTGCTCAGGGGCTACTGGTCACCTCCAGGGCCCAGCGCCAGGCCCTGTATGACCCGTTCCTGTGCTGGCCTCTAGAAGTCTGTAGCTCCCCATGTCCAAGACACCCTGTGCTCCAGCCAACAATGGACTTATCTAGCTCTGGCCGTCTCCTTCGAGTTTCTTCTAAGCCATTGCCCTGGCGGTAAAAACCGTTTCCTCTCCCAAGACCTAGTTCCGGCATCGCCTCCTCTGGGAAGCCTCCGAGGCCTGTCTGGTCAGCACTGCTCACGCCTGTCCTCTGGGATCACTCTGACCACACTGCGTTACGGTTGGTGGCCTGTTTGATCTCGAGTCCACTGAATGGGCTGGGGGCTGCCCGTTTATCTGGGCATTTGCCCACCCTCGGTGCCGGGCCTGCCCCGGAGCAGACCCTCGGTAAACATCTGGCTCAATCCTTGACGCCAAGTGAGGCACACTATACCCACATGCATTCCCCCAGACGGTCCTTCGTTGCCAATTTGCTACAAAAATCAAAGGTCAGTCTCTTGGTGGTTCTTTGATAGAACAATTAATGGGCCTGCTTTGGACAAACTTCACTTCTTTGAACTTGAAGTGAGTTACTCAATGAATTACAGCAGCAAAAGAGGGCATTCTTGGCCCAAATAAAGAAATGAGAAGAGACTTTGGGTCATTTTCAGAGAATGACCTCAAATTAGATTTCAGTTGGAAAAGCTTTAAAACAAATTTCTGGGAGAGATCAAAAGCTTGAAAAGCGATGAGTTTTGAGAAGCTTTTTGGGCCTGGAGCCCGGCAATGCCGACCAAACCACCTGAGGGGCCCCCGGGGAGAGAGAACCAGGTAGCAGATGCGGATGTGCCCAGAGGAGCCGAAGGTGCCGTCCTGATGGAAGTCGTTACCCAGTGAGTGGTTTGTCGGGTGCTTCTCCTGGGACCTGGTGCAGCCCCAGCTGCTCAGTGGCCTCCAATTGGCAGAGAGAGAAGGTGGGAAAGTTTGAAAGAGATGCTCCCCTGGTTTGAAAGTCTCCTTCTAGCATCTTTCTCCCCTGCTGAACCTCGTCCATGGCTCTATACGGGCATTAAAATGGGTGTCACTGAGCAGTGGGCGCTGAGGAAGAAAAGGGGGAGCGGAGAGCTGCTCCTCACCTGTTCCCCATGTTACTCCCACAGGTCCCTGCTCATCCGCCTCCCCTCCTCGTCCCTGCTGAAGGTGTCTCTGCCCCTGGGCCCACCCTGTGCTGTCATCGGGGTGAACCAGCCTCAGAAAGACAGCCGAGAGGAGCTGGGCGAATACCCTCATTTTTTTTGTCTACAGGAGCTTCTCATGCCAGACTTGGGAGGAGCCAAATTCTTGACCTTCAGCCCTTCCCCACGGGCTGGACGGGGTCATCAGAGGCGATGGCTCGTGCACACCTGTGGCCTGTGAGCGCGCCCACAACCACACTGCTACTGGGCTGTGCTGGAGGCAGTGGTACCGAGGCCACTCTTCGAGTGGTCGCTGATGTGAGAAGGCTCTGCTGTGTCTCCGGGACTCTGCTTGACCAAACCAACATGGGCCCCAGGCTGGGGGAGGCGTCCACATCCCCCACCTGCGGCTCAGGATCTGGGACCATCTCTTCGCCCAGGGCAGCAGGCCCAGCGGCTGCACCTGCCTTTACTATTTCGTGCGTGTTCATCTGCCCGTCTTCCTTCCTCGTGTCTGCCCCCACCTCTGGGCCCTGCTCAGGCCTGTTTATAAATGCTCGTGGTGTCAGAGGTTGGTGTCCCCAGCCCCCGCCTGCACCTTCCTGTGGGGCCGGCCCCGTGTGCGTCTCTGACTCTAGGAAGCTGCCCTTTCCCCAGTATTTGTTCCTCCGTCTGCGCCTTTGGCCTAAGGAACCGCACCAGCCGCAGCCCAAGAAGGAAGAGGTTATCACTGGTGTTCAACAGGCGCCATCAAGCAAGTCCTGCTTCCCTCCCACACCTCTCCCAACCGCCCCGCCGCACGGTACCTGGGAGAGTCGGTAGCTGCTTAGAAAACTGCAGGGGACACCCAGAGCCCTCCTGCTTCGGTGCTGAGCACCTGTCGGTCCACCCTCCACGCAGTCCTCACAGGGTGCTTTCCAGGACGCAACTCCTTTCTTTAATGCAAAGGAGGGTTTTGGTGCGGTAAAAACACACATGTAAAACCTACCAGCGTTTTACCATTTTTAACTTGCAGTTCAGCGGTATTAAATACATGCAATACAGTGACATTGCTGTGTGACCGTCACCACCACCCAGCCACAGAACTCTTTTCATCCTGGAACACTGAAACCCTGTCTCCACGAAACCCTGACTCCCTGTTCTCCTCTCCCCCAGCCCCCGGCGACCACCACTCTGTGGTCGGTCTCTGGGATTCGACTACTGGAAATACCTCCTATGTGTAGACTCACGCGTATTTGTCTGTTTGAGACTGGCTTATTCCACTGAGTGCGATGTCCTCCGGGGTCATCCACGTTGTGGCCTGTGTCAGAATTTCTTTTCTTTGCGAGGCAAGACACTATTCCCACGGCAGCACACACCGCGTGCAACCCACCCGCGCGTCGTCCATCGAGGGGCCCTCCAGTCGCTTCCACGTCTCAGCTGTCGTGAGACTGCTGCTGTGGACATGGGTCTCCGGACACCCCTCTGAGGCCCTGCTTTCCGCTCTTTTGTGGGTGCGCCCAGAAGAGGGGTTGCTGAACAGCATGGCAAATCTATTTCAAACCTTTGGAGGAGCTGCCTTGCCGCCGTCCGGAGCCGTGCGTCTGTTTACAGTCCCATTGGCAGTGCGCTGAGGCTCCCATTTCCCCACGTTCTCACCTGCACTCATTTTTCTTTCCTTCCTTTCTTCCTTTCTTCCTTCCTTCCTTTTTTCCTTTCTTCCTTCCTTCCTTCCTTCCTTTCTTCCTTTCCTTCCTTCCCTTCCTTCCTTCCTTCCTTCCTTCCTTCCTTCCTTCCTTCCTTCCTTCCTTCCTTCCTTCCTTCCTTCCTTCCTTCCTTTTCGGACAGTAGCCATTCCATGGGCACAAGGTGGTATCTCATTGTGGTTTTGATTTGCATTTCTGCAATAATTAGTGATGTGGGTGGGACGCCTTTTCCTGTGCGTGTCGACCATTTGAATATCATTGGGGAACAATGTCTGTGGAAATCTTCTGCCCATTTTTGAGTCGGGTTTTTTGGTTGTTGTTGAGTTATAGGAATTCTTTATATATTCTGCCTATTTGTTGGCACTGGCTGAGTCTGCCTATTGGGTAATCCCAGTTAAGCATGGGTGTGGGCTTGGGCCGGGTGGGGGGCTGTGAGGCTGTGCTAAAACCTCCCGCTGCCTGCAGCTCCCCACCTCCCTCTGGGCCTCCCCTCCCAGCAGGAATACCCGATTTCCCACCCACACCCAGGGCTCTGCCCGGGAACGCCCTGACCCAGCCACCACGCCTCCCCCGACAACTTTACAGAACACGGAATATCTGTGGGGATGGGGGCTCTGAGATCCAGAAGCTCATTTTTATCAACTAAAAAAATCATGTGTCTCATTCCAAGAATTAACATGAACATTTTCAAGAAGTATAATGACCATATTCATAATAATAATTAGGACATAAATTTTTGATTGATTTTTTTAAGAGGAGGGAGTGAGAGAGAAAGTGAGGAACAACCATCGTTGTTTTAATTATTGATGCGTTCACTGATTGATTCCTGTATGCGCCCTGACCGGGCGTCGAACCTGCGACCCATCGCGTATACACGCCTATTTAATTGCGTAGCATCGAAGGAACACACACATGCATTTAACTGTAAAATATGTTGTGCCTAGAGAGGACTGCATAGAACAGATATGTGCTGTTTGCATAATCATTTTAAAGAGACGTATATATAATGACCAACGAAGTCAAGAAATAGAATTGCTGTCAGTACGATCTAGGGCAGGAGTGTCAAACTCATGTTCACCGGGGGCCGCATCAGCCTCTTGGTTGCCATCAAAGGGCCGAGTGTAATTTCAGGACTGTGTAAATGTAACTACTCCTTAACTAGGGGCCATGAGCTCAGTGCTGCTGCCAGGCAGAAACAAGGTGCCGGCCGGATAAAACAAGTGGAGGGCCGGCCTTGGCCCGTGGGCCTTGTGTTTGCCACCTGTGCTCTGGGGACTTGACCCAAGTATCGCGTTCCATCAGCTATGGTGAAAGAGGGGACCTCGGAAGGTGTACCCTTACAGCAAAAGTTAGAAATGGCCAACGATTCGGCAGAAGGTTCCACAAGATAGTGAGTTTAAGGCCATGGATCTCAACCTCTGGGAAAAGTGTTGGAGAAGCCACTGATATGCAGGCTGGACTGGAGAGAATGCATAGCTGGCTGAGAGACCTGGTGAAAAGCTGCTTTTTAAAAAGATTTTATTTATTTATTTTTTGACAGAGGGGAAGGGAGGGTGAGAAGGAGGGAAACATCAAGAGATACACGGTTGCCTCTCACGCGCCCCCTACTGGGGACCTGGCTCGCAACCCAGGCATGTGCCATGACTGGGAATCGAACCGGTGACCCTTTGGTTCACAGGTCGGTACTCAATTCACTGAGCCATACCAGCCAGGGCACCCCAGATCTCTTCAGTAAGAGTATTTTATGACCCAAAAGTCGGCAGCCAGAGAGAAGGGACAGCTGATTAAATCGAGAAGCAGGCCCAGACAGGAAGCAGGGAGAGTCCATGGACACAGGGTCTCCTCTGTTCAAGGTTTCACACATAGGGACAGACTTTTGTGAAGGTTCATGGTGTGGCCCAAACACTGTCCCTAAGCAGGGGAAGAAAATAAACTGATTTTCCCTGTTGGGCTTAGCCCATTCTCGGATATGCCTCTTGCCCCCCTCCCCCTTTTTCTGAGGAAGGCTTCAAATGAGGAAGCAGCTTAGAGGTGAACAGGAAGTAGATGGTACAAGGACACCCCGAACAAGTAGAGGGTGAATGACCAGGCTCAGCGGCAGACTTCTCGGTTGTGGCGAGGACTCGGATTTGCTGGGGACACCAGCCAGGGGTAGAGGACCATGTGGCTGCCTCCGGCTCTGCTCCTTCTCTGCCTCCCAGGTGAGTGGGGCTAGGGCTCGGGTAGCCTGCTCGTCTAGGGAGCAGGAGGGTGCCCTGGGTTCAAGCCAAAGGCAAAGCAACAGCAGAACTGGGAAGGATACATCCACTTACCCATCCATCTATTCTCCTGAGCATTTAAACATGCACCCCCAGATCCTATCTCCACTTACTGGGCACCACCTGGTGCCAGGACGGTTCCAGATGCTGTGGTTAAGAACAGCTTCTGCACTCGGGGGCTCAGGGTTGGATGAGGAAGGCAAGTAATTACAACACAGCGTGGGACTTGTTACAGAAGAGACTCACCTCGCGGGGATGGGAGTGCGAGGCAGGAGCCCTGAGCTCTGCTGTGGGAAGGACTCGGGTCGTCACCAAGGCTTCACGGGACCTTGGCCTTGAAGAATGAGTGGGAAAGGGGAAGAGCAAAAGCGTGGAGCCAGGGGAGATCATGGGAAGTTCAGGAACTTGCAGTGTTTCTGTTCTGTTGGGGTTTAGTTGAAAGGAGTTGGAAAGATTCCTTAGAAAGTATTAGTGGAGGGTCTATGATGCCATTCTCAGCGTCCGCTTTACAGTTGTTAGGATCAAAGTGTGTTATAAGCAAGTAAATACAACTGTCTGTCCACAGCTGGACGTGCAGAAGACGCACTCTTAGAAAAGACGTTCCAGATGTGTGAGGGCAGTTTTTTGTCCCCTGTGGGATGTAGATTTAGGATAAAAATGAGAGGATATCCTTCATGTTAGCGGGATGATTCCGTGGCTGGGTTTCCTGACAAAGCAGAGGACCTGCCCGACGTAACGGCAGACTCTGCCAGGACAGTGGGTGGAGAGGCAGAGATTTAAAAGGAGAAGCCTGCTGGTCAGACTGGAAACAGCAGGTAGTTTGGTGTCCTAATAAGCGGAATGAAGGAGGGGCCGGCTGGGCTCCGAGGCGTCCCGAGGCCCTTACGGCCCAGGTCTCAGACTCGGAGGGACATTTAAACGAGGTGCACTTCAGGACACACGGGAGGAGCTCAACGTGTCTTAAAAGGTGGTGACATTTTGTGACTCTACCTAGAGGAAGCAGCGGTGGCTGGAGCCAGCCTGCGTGGGCTCACGAAAGCTGGTTGTGACGGTGTTTGCCCGACGTCACGCCCGGTGACAGCATGTGGTTAACTTGAAACTGGGCACGGGGAGGGCACTTAGACCAGGGAAATCGGCCAATACCACATAGCAGGGCTTCTCCCCGCCTCCCCGCACGTCACTGCTTGTTGAAATCTGCTTGCTTAAAGGAGATAAAATCACCTACAGGCCCTGGCCTGGGTGCAGGGAAGCAGATGACGAAATCACTTCCCACCCCTTCGTGAGCAGCAGACTGACACCTCCAACCCGGGGTGGGGGGCTCATGTCCCTCCCAAGTAGTGGCAGTGGGGTCTCAGACGAAAACTTCAAAGTCACTTGTGAAGACTCACTTTTCCTGTCTCCTTTTCATCCCGGCTGCTGGCTCTGCACCCTCCTGTCTTTTCAGGCTGTGGGGACTAAGATTTCAGGTGGTCGTGCCCCAAGTCAGAGACAGGAAGCCTAAGAGGGTCTCCTTAGGGACCCTGACCTTCTCAGCAGCCAGCTGTGTGAGAGACCATGTGTGCCAATTCGCCCCAAGGCAAGGGTGTCAAAGTCATGTCCACCGGGGGCCGCATCAGCTTCGAGGTTGCCATCAAAGGGCTGAATATGATTTTAGGACTGTGTCAATGTCACTGCTCCTTAATGAGGGGCCAGGAGCTCGGCGCTGCTGCCGGGTAGAAACAAGGTGCTGGGCTGGATAAAACAAGGTGAGGGGCCAGGGCCTTGGGCCTGGTGTTTGCTGCCTGTGCCCTAGAGGGTAGGGAGAGCCAGGGATTTGTGTGTCCTCCCTCGAGGACACATGGAGAGCGCACCAAACAAGACGCTTAAAGGACAAGCCCGTGACGCCGAAAGCCCAGGATGCAGAGGCCCCCCAAAGGGAAGCGTTTGGGCTCCGGACAGGGCGGGACAGCCAGCTCTCTCGCTCCCACCTCCAGCGTTGGTCCCACTCTCCCCGCCCTGAGGGCAGGGACCCATGCATGTGGTCACCCAGTGTCCCTGGGCCCCCGGGCACAGGTCTCTGCTCTGCCTGCCTATGGCACGCTCCAGTCCCCAGTCTCCACGCTTAGGTCCTGAGCTCTGCTGTCCCTCAGGGGCCCATCCCCGAGCCAGAACCGGCCACGGGGCTGGTCCCCTTGGGCTGGTCCAGGGACCCAGCGGGATGGACTCCTGGGATGCGGTTTGTGTTTTCCAGGCTGTTTGTCCCTGGGGGGCTCCGGCTTTGTGAGGGGCACCGAGGGCAGCTCCCTGACCATCCGGTGCTGGTACGAGGAGGGTTACAAGGACTATAACAAATACTGGTGCCGTGGAGAGCATGACACAGACTGTGACAAGATCGTGGAAACCGGGGGAGGAGAGAGAGAACAGAGAGATGGCCGAGTGTCCATCCAAGACAACCCCAACACCCGCACGCTCACCGTGACCATGAGGAACCTCCATGTGGCCGACGCCGGGCCCTACTGGTGTAAAATCCAGACACTGTGGATCTTTGACGCATGGTCACGGGACCCCTCGTTCCGGGTGCAGGTGTCTGTTTCCCCAGGTAAGAGCCCCCCTCGCTCCGCAGCCTGGGCTGTGACTGCACAGGGGGACCAGGGTGGGGCTACGTGGAAGAGTGTCCGCCGTCTCGGAGGCGGAGGGAAGACCCTATCACGTGGGCAGGGAGAGAGGGGCGGACCCTTCCGCCTTGACAGGGGCAGGGCCACCGAGTCCTCCAGAATCCTGCACCTTCATACACACACATCTCCAGCCGGCTCGCAGGACACCCCTGCACCGCGGTGGGTCCCACCCCTGTCCCGGGTGGGCCTCGCTTCTTTGAGCAGGCAGGCTTTCTGGCTGGAGCTGCTGCCTCCTGCCCCCACGACCTCCCAGCTCCCGTCTGACCGACTTCCAGCCCAGCGCTCTCCCAGCTGCTGCCTTTAACCCTGCATCACAGGGCCGCCCCGCCCTCTGCCTCTCCCTGACTCGGCCTCCAGGGAGCCCAGCAGTTTCCACCCTGATCTCTGTCACTGTCATAGGCGGTTTTACGGAATAACTCGTCAGTCATCCTCGTCTCAGGTTCGGGGGGGCTTCTCACCTTCAGGGGCCTGCATTCCCACTCCGTTTCGGGGCTGCAGTCCATGGCAGCAGAGCAAATGTTGTCGTCACCCAGCCGGGTCTCGTCCAGAGCCCTGCACTCCTCAGACGCTCCACTTCCAACCGAATTCCACGCATCTGCCCTCCGGTCCCCTCGTCCCGCCACCCCCACTTTCAGCCTCACCCCCCCCCCAGGCCTTTGACCCTCCTCACCACGTTCTCCCCGTTTATTGCCCGCCCTGCTCCTGCCCCGATGAACTTCGCTTCCTCCCAGAGCCAGTTCCAACGCTCACAGTAGACTACACTTTCTTCCCTAACCAGTGTGTTCAACTCCCGGCACCATTTCCTGGCCACCATCGCAACCCTCATGTCTGAATCCATCCCGAAATCAGGCTGACCAACCATCGGGTTTTCCCAGGACGGCGATGGGTTGCTGGGGGCGTGGGGCTTTCCATGTCCAAAGTGGAAAAGTCTCCAGCAGACTTGGGCAAGCTGGCCACCCTACCTGTAATCTACCCGCTCCAGTGCTGCCGGGAAAAAGTGACGCCAAGTTCATGGTTTCTCATCTGACCCGTCCGTTCGTCTTCCCCACTGAGAGCATGCAGGACACGGGGCTGAACTCTCTCAACTTCTTTCCTCCTTCACGTGCAAACTTCCGTGCAACCGAACCCCTTCTTCCCTCTTTCCCTTGTAGGTTCAGGGTCAAGTTTTCTCCTCCAGCTGAAGTGCATCATCTTGCAGCTGGCTTCTCACTCCACGGCCCCTTGAGCTCAATTCCCTCTTTGCTCATCCATCGTCTTTCTCCGTCCACGATCCACACCCTCCCCCATCCTCAGCCTCAGCCTCCCCCTCATCGTGGCTCCTCACCTTGTGAACATGCCCGTGTCTCTCCTGTTCTACGGTCACCCCGTAGCCCTGCAGGCTCCTCTATGCGCCTCCATGTCCCCCTTCCCTGCTCTTGGCTCCCCTGGAAGGTGGAGGAGGCCCTCCTGCTGTACCTGGTGGTGTCCCACCCCCATGCCCACCTCTTTCTACTGAAGTGAGTCAGTCCGTGCAGGTGTCTCTGCCTCCCCATGAGGGCAGGGCAGGTGCCACGTCCAGCGACAAACCCCCAACTGAGCCTGTGCTGGGGGCGCTGTGAGGGGCTGAGCCTCTGGGATGGCTGCTCTTTGAGGGACATCATGAGGACAGGAGAGCACGGGGGTGGGACGGAGGTTGTGCCAATAGTCTGGACACCTGAGGTCCTTGGGAGGGACGGGGTGACAGCCGAGTGGTGGGGTAAAGTGGCCTGAGGTCCCTGTGAAGGCTGCTCTGAGCCCCTCCTGAGTCTGTAGGAGGCTCTGGGCCATCTTCAGCCGGACTCCTCCCTGCCCCTCCTCCCCCAGGGGCCCCTCACCAGGCAGGAGAGCCCCTGGGGGCCCCTGCCCTCACCCCAGGCAGAGCCACACTTGGGATGGAAGGAACGGCCTGGCACTTATCAGGGGTGACTTGTAGCCAGTTCTGGAGAAGTCCCATTAGTCCCTGAGGGGCCCGCCCGGGAGGTGGCCTGCGCTTGGTTTCGGGCTCGGTTGAGCCCTTCCAGATCCCCACGGGTGCGGAGCGAGTGTCTGTGGGGAGCGCAGTGCCTGACCTGTGATTTATCTTCAGCACCCCTTACAACCACAGGACCGACCGCACGCCGCACCACACCGGCCGCCACCCCGGCCACGTTCCTGGAGGTGATCACCGGGCAGAACGCCAGCACCAACCGAGTGCCGTCCTCCTGCCCAGGGTGAGGGCCCGAGGCCTGGAAGCGGTGGACCAGGAGGGTCAGCAGCCCAGGGGACCCTGGAGGGGGGGCAGGCCACACACCACGTCTTTTCCCTCACTGTCTGATGGATTTCCCCCCAACTCTGGTTGTGATTTTTACATTCTCTGAGGCTATGTGGGGATTCTAAATGGAAACTGTCACCTGTGCTGTGACTACTCTGTCCCCCACCCGGTGGAGCAGGTTCGGGGACACAGGCAGAGGCTGGTCCCAGGTGGCTGGGCAGCCCCTCCTCCGGTCCTCACCCTTCCCCCTCCTTCCCCACTGGGTCTGGTCTCAGAGTCCCGGTTCGCCGGCCCCTGACCCGGGCTTGCTTCCGGAGGTCTTTGCTCTACCGGAGACCGTGAGCTGCTCGTGGGTCTGTGGGGGGACGGGCTGGCCCCAGGCTGGCGTTTGGGATCCCTCTCCTCCTCCCAAAGACACCAAAGGGGGGCTGGGGTGCTGCTGCCTGACCCTGGAAGGGAGGGAGAAGGGCTTTCTCGGGTGGGTTTCCGGCCTTGTTGATAGAGGGGAAACTGGGGGGCAGCGGGACAGGGGGACGGCTCAGCGCGGCCTCTGGGCAGCAGGCGCAGCCTGGCTCCTCTCTCCCTTTTCTCCATCACCTCCCGGTGAGAGTCTCCCGGGCAGCTCTTGACTAAGAAGGGAGAGGTGGCAGGGGCCCCACAGAGGGGCCCTGGAGTAGGTCCCTTCTCAACTGGATCCTGAGTTATTTGGGCCCTGGGATCAGGCCACAGGGAGCAGCGGGGACAAAGGGGTCTCGGCCCCTGCCCCCGCAGGAGGCAGTTCACTTCCTGTCACCATGTCCCCCACAGGGTTCCGCTCAGCACTGTCTTCTTCTTCCTGTTCCTGGTGTTGGTGAAGGTGCCTCTGCTCCTGAGCATCCTCGGGGTGGTCCTGTGCGTGAGCAGGCGTCCGACGGGCCCTGGAAGGAGACGGAGTCAGCCTGACCACGGGGGTCCTCCTGACCACTGGGGTCCACCATGCCATGTGCCAGCTCCGGGAAAGCCCTGCCCGGGAACCCAGCCCTTCGGACTGGACGGGAGAGACCTGTGGGCCCTGCAGTCCAGGACAAGGAGGCAGTAGGGCCTGGATTCTGGGGGAGCTGGGACCTTCTGGGATGTTGTTTCTATGCCTCAAGGGAGGCCCCCGGGGCTCCGAGGGCACTCGCTCTGGTCCTGAAGTGGGGGAAAGATGAGTTTTGGGCCCCTGCGTGGGGTCTCCCTTCTCCTCCCCAGACCCCCCAGCTGCTTACCCTCATGCCTACTTCCCAAGGGAAAGAGTTCCCTGGAGGTTGCGTGCTCAGAAGCCTGGCTATTTATTCTGTGGCACAAAGACTTTGTAAGTCAGCGTTCCTCAGGACAATAGCCGCCGCCTCCCTGCAGACAGGAGGCTCCCAGTCACTGGGCTCCCAGGGTTCTAGCCCCTCCTCTGGGGGCGGGAGAGGGACAGTCCCAGGGGAGTTTGGTCCTGAGAGATGAAGCTGCCCACTGTCTTGTGTGACCGTGTTTCCATCTACTCTTCTGACACCTCTTGGGTCTCATTAGACTTCAACCAGCTAGTGACTCTGTGACCAGGAAACTGGGCTCAGTATGGCTTTGCCTGGGGTGGCCATGGCCGAGCAATTTCAAGTTAAGGTTCTGGGGTCAGGTGGCACAGTGTTGGGAAAAGGAGGCCGTGGGGGTCCCCAGTCTCTCTCCCGGAATTCCCCACCCTGCAGCGCTCCTGTGCACGGAGCCCACAGGGGGTCTGGCTTTGCCGACTTAAGGAGAGTCTGGCTGGGACCCCTGCTGACCACAAACCCCTTCCGTGGGAGAGGCAGACATCGTCCCTGAGGGCAGGGTGTGGGACGCAGAGGCGAGGAGACACTTCCCCAGGTTGGGAAGGTGTGACACCATGGCCACCCCTGGGCTTTCCCAGCCCAGGACAGAGCTCGGGTGGCTTTTGAACGCTTGTCCGTCTGAAGTCTGCAGGGAGGAGTCTTACCGTCCATCACCAGCAAGCATCACCGTCCCCACCGAGCCCTCTGAGCTGAAGGAGGAATTCATCTAATGAGGCGCACGCTCGTCACGTTAACAAACACACAGGGGAGAGGGCGGGTGTGGAAACAGAATCATGGAAAGAAAGACGCTTATGCTGCCGTTTGTTTAAAAAGACAAGTTCACAACTCAGCACGGCAGAGGCAGGGCTGCCAGCACCCGGGTGGGGAAGCGCGGTGTCAGACGGGCAGGACCGGGACTGGAGGTGATGTCTGAGGGTGGCGATGAAGGAAGGGCCGCTGTCAGCTGAGCAGGGCTGGGGGAGGGGCCTAGAGGGCCTGTCAGTGAGTGACGAGTGACGTGAGTTTCTCACCGTATGGGTGTGCCTGAGATGCCCTCGGAGTGACACGTCCTTGTGGCAGGGAGCTAACCTAGGCCAGTGAAAGTCGGGCATGTGACAGAGGCTTATAAGGACACAGCTCTTACTTAAACTTCGCTTGGAGACACTTGGATGGATTTGAGCAGATCCAAATGGGGTGGTGGGTGTGTTTTTGGGAGGCTTGTCTAGGCCATGTGTAGGAGCACCGGAAAGAAGGAGCCTGGGGGCCGGAGGGTGTCAGCCTGGAAGACTAGAGGGGGGCACTGTTTGCAGAAGCAGGTGCAGCAGGAGCAGGCGCAGCAGGAGCAGGTGCGGCGACACAGAGCTCCATCTTCCCCGTGTGGCTGGGGTTCCCAGGCAGAGGGGTCTGGCAGGAAGCTAGAGAGGTGGGTTCGGAGAGTACTGCTGCTGGAGAGAAGATGAGCGGAGAGAGAGGTTGATCGGAGCCCAGGGAGGGGCGGAGTCTCCAAGGAAGAGTTCAGAGCCAAGGGCAGGCATGTGGAGACCCTGCAGCGAAGCCAGGCGTCTGGGGTCCTGTAGGTTCTTCATCCATCTTGCTGTCTGTCCCTCTCACACCGCACTGTCTCGATTCCCATGGCTATGGAAACACGTCTTCCCACCAGGTTCCGTGGTTCCTTGGTGAGAGTAGATCACTGGCAGAGGGTTCCTCCCTCTTTCTTCACTCCACATAAATTTAAAAGTGAGCTTGTCTTTGTCTGTGAACAAATCTTGCTGGGGTTTTGATAGGAATTGCAATAAAGTTATAGACTGACCTTGTGAAATGGATATCTTTACTGTGTTGATACTCTGGTTTCTCTTCACAGCGAATAAATCTTTCGCCTTTCACTATGCTGTCTTCCAATCCACACACGTGGCCCAGCTCTCGATTTATTAGAAATCTTCTTTGACATCCATTGGCCGCTTTTCATAATTTTTAGCGTAGAGACGCTGACCCTGGCTCACCTTTTGGCTGATTGGTGCCCAGATGCTTCTTTTTGGCGGGGGTGGGGCGCGATTGGGCACAGCCTTGAGGCCTTCAGCTTGGCTTCTGACGCTTGTTAGCAGGTATGGAAATGTGGCCAGTGAGTGTGTGTGTTGACCTTTTGTCCTGTGACCTTGTGAACTCCTGTATCAGCTCTAGCAGTGCTTAGGGGCTCCTTGGGATTTTCTATGCAGACAGTCACGTCATACGCCAAAAAGGATGCTTTTATTTATTCTGTTCTGCCATGTGTGGTTGTCCTGGGGGCCCTCGGGAGCCCCTGGAAGGTTTCGAACACTTGATGGCTGTCAGGAGGGGGGATAGGGCACTGTGGACCCACCATCTTCCAGCATTTCTACTTTTAAAACAGAAGCCAGAAGTGAAATTCCTCATGTTTACATACAGGCATCAAACTCCGTTGAAACGTACTGCGATCAAAACAAAACTTGTCTGTAGGTCCTTGTGGGTCCAGGGCGTGGGGCGTGGCCTCCAAGTAAAGCAGAGAAATTACGGAGCCCTGTTGGCTTTGCCCAGGGTTTGTGCCAGGGGGGCCATCTGGTGCACTCAGCAGGCTTGGGCACTCTGTCACCCTCCTCTGGTGACAGATGGACCTGCGGGGTGACGTGTGGGCCAGCCCCAGGCTGGCTCAGGGCAGATCCGACTCTGCTGCCTGGCCTCGTGACTGGGGCCCAGGGGCCTCGCCCTTCAGGGCTCCTTGTGGCTTATGTGTGACATGAAGGTGCTAGATTAAGACTTGCATGTGACAGTTCGAAAGCATAATGGATGGAACTGGAAAGCATTATGCTGAGTGAAATAGGCCAGGTGCTGAAAGACAAATACCATATGATCTCACCTTTAACAGGAAGCTAAACAACAAAACAAACAAGTAAGCAGAAAAAAAAAACCCCAAAAAACAAAGACACTGAAATAGAGAACAAGGGGATAGTGACAAGAGGGGAGAAGGAAGGGAAGTTAAGGGGAAAAAGGGGGGAGGGATTTGGAGGAAAAAATAGGAAGGACACAGGGACGAGAACTAAGGGGGGGAGGAAATGGGAGGGAGGTGGGGAGAAAGGGGCAGGGGAGGCTGGGATGGGAAAAATAGACAAAAAACTGTACTTGAAAAATAACTAAATAAATTAAAAAAAAAATGAAACTAAAAAAAAAAAAAAAAAGAAAGCATAATGCTAGTCTTATACCCACCACCCCTATTCAAGTCTGGATTGAGATGACAGTAACCCAGGTGTTTACCTTTAAAAAAAAACTCATTAAACTGTAACCGTAGCATGCGAAGACTTTGTAGTTTTGGTAATTTTTGAGGCATAAATATACCTCAGTAATTACTTTTTTAAGATATAGAAAATGACATTTTAAAAGTTACCTTTACAGTCCCCATGCTTTTCCTGGTTCCCCCCCAGTGGCCAGTGCCCCCCGGGGGCTCGGTGCGACCTCTCTGAGGAATCGCAAAGGCATCTTCCAGGCCCCGCCCTCTAACACCCCCTAACACCCTGGTGCTTTCTGGGAGGTGCATCTCACTCTGGCATTTGATTGCAAGTCACTTCACACCCTCGGCAATGTATGGAAAGAGCACACCAAACAACATAATCTCAAAGAGCACAGGAAACCATAGATTTAATAGGAAGCGTGCAGCCCAGACACATTGGCTGTGGGTGGGGCCATGGTCCAGGCTTGTCCTTAATCATCAACATTCAGCTGCTTCTCCAGAGGGTCCGAGGCAACAGAAGACGGAATCCGCAGACCTCTGTCCCTGTCTGTGAGGCGGGGGTCTTGGCCCTTGTAGATGCACTCTGAAGCTTTTCGGCTTAATCCAGGTTCCACGCTTGCTGACTGGCCGGGATCTTGACTATCACTAGCTGCAGTCCTAGACAATGTCACCGTCCGACACCTGGCAGAGCCACCGCATAGTCACAGGAAAGGGGGCTGCGGGAGGACCCGCACGGCTGAGGCTGCAGGTGCCCCCGAGGACCCGGTGTGTAAGCGGAGCACCGCCTCTGCTCCCCCCTCTGCTCCTGAGCGGGAGGCCGGGGTGCGGAGTTGTGCTGACTGCGTCCCTGCGGCCAGGACGAGGGGGGGCCTCGCCCCAGTGGGGACCCTCCTCTCTTGTTCCCTGAGAAGAGGTCAGCAGGTTCTGCTCGTCCGAGGCGGGGGGTGGGTGGCAGGGGAGCTGCGGGTTTCCTGCTCAGATGGAGCTCATTTCCCTGGGAGCCCCCCGGCCGCCTGCTGAGCCGCATCACCACACACAGCAGGCCCACAAGCAGGGGCACCTTTATGAAGGTCAGGAGCATGAAGTGGATGTTGCAGAGCAGGGACCTGGAGAGGGACCGTGACCACAGGCGTGAGACTCTTCTGGGGCAGCCCCCAACCCCCGCAGCCCAGACTGGAGTGACAGGCAAGCCTCGGACCCTTCCCCTCCGAGGGGCTCAGTCACACTGCCCAAAGGCTAAGCCTTTGGAGGCCTCCATTCTGGCTCAGCTTGGGGGTCCGTTTCCCTTCTGCCTTTTGGCTGGTCTCCCACAGCTCATCGTCAAGAATCCTGCAGCCCCGCCGAGCATAAAGGTTTGCCCTTTTGATCTTTCTTATTCTACTATTCTCCCTGCCTTCTATCTCCCTTTGTAAATTCTGCCCATCTTTCCAACTCAGATCTGTGATCCGGTGTTCTCTGCTGGGTTCTCCTGGGAGGGACCTCTCGTGGCTCTGAGCTCCATCTGAGAGTACCTGTGATGTACTTTGTCGTGGGTCCCACAGAGGGGACACTTGGTCTAGCGAGACTATTGGGCCCTGGGTCACACATGTTCCTATCAGCGTGTAAGAATCCGGTCCCCTTCACTGTATGCCTCACCCCCTCTGCTAGGACCCATGTGCCCCCAACCCTGCAGGCCACCCCTGTCTGTGTCTCAGCCTGCCTCGGGCAGGATGAGTCCTGCTGACGTCACACACAGTTTTCTCGAGGGAGAGAGGGCACGCTGTATCACACCTCCTAAAAATATCCTCTGTGCTCTTTGCACGAGGCCTCCTTCCTGCTGTGCCCTTCTCTCTCCCTGCCAAGTTTTCCCTTGTGCTTCTCCGGCCTCAGTAAAAGTCCTGCGTTCCGCACCCTTGGCTCAACAGAACCTCTGCTCTCCAAGCAGCTGTGAGCAGGACAAAGCCGGGTGGTGAGGCAGGTGCCCCTCAAAGCCTCGCCTCACTGGGACTCATTGATGAACACACGAGCCAGCGGGGGCTGGGCTGCAAGGAACAGGACCCCGAAGAAAGGGAGGGTGACGGGCTGGAGCAGAGAAGTGAGCCAGTGCAGGGTGATTCTGAGAGGCTGGACCCAGGGAGAGAACAGACCTTGACCCTGGACCTCGTGGGAGCCCACCGGGCAGTGACTGGATGACCCAGGGGCTGGGATGTTGGTCCTTTGGTGGAATGGCTTATTGACGGGCCTTTGGGAGCCTCTGAAGGGAGAGGACTTCCGGCTGATGCCCTCAGCTCCACACTCCTTTCTTTCATCTCCCTGCTGCTTGGGGAGCGAAGGGCTGGAGCAATGAAACTGTACCTGCCTGTGACTGTGGTGGGCAGAACATTGGTCCCCAAAGACGCCCACACCCCCAGAACCTCTGAATATGTTATGTTGGGTGGCAAGGGCTGCAGACGGACTTAAAGTCGCCAGTCAGCTGACTCTGCAATGCAGAGACGGTTTGGGTTATCTGGGTGGATCCCATGCCCTTGAGAGTCGGGGTTAGAGTGCCACAGTGTGAGAACGGCTTTATTGGACATCGCTGGCTTTGAAGATGGGAGGAGCCAGGAGCCAAGGAATGTGGCTGGGCCCTGGCAGCTGGAAAAGTCAGGGGGACAGGCCCCCCCCCCGGGACTCCACAGTGGAGCTCAACCCCGCCGACGCCGTGACTTTGGCTCAGGGAGACTTGTCCCAGACTTCTGATCCCCAGAACCACGAGATAGTCAAGTTTTGTTGTGCTAAGTTCATGGTAAGAGTACTTCCCTTCCAGCACACTTGAGGCTGAACCCGGCTAGACTTTCTTTTGCTTTTGGGTGGGGGAGAGCCAGAGGAAGAGCAGAACCTTCTCTCCTGCGGCCCAGCTGGAGCACCTGGCTTAGGTCCCGAGGGCAGTGGGGAGGGCTCTAGGTCCTCGGAGGTGAAGAGGAGGGGGAGGCGCAGTGCAGACCTCAGTTTCTCCCCTGCCCAGGTGCATGGAGGCGAGGGGCGATGTGGGTGTCCCTGGTCCCTGTCCCAGACCAGGGCAGCCAGAGGAGGGTCTGCAGGGCCCAGCTCCACTCACCTGGCGAGAGACAAGCTGCTGTTGCCACTCTGGACAATCGGAGGCGAGGGTGCCAGACTGGCCGGTGCGAACGGTGTCACGGGTTCAGGTGGGTGTGTTGTCGCAGATTTAGCTGTTTGTGGTGACACAGGTACAATCGAGTTAGCAGCTGACTGTGGATGCTTTTGCTGGATTTGCTGCTGAATGCACAGAGCAGAGAAGGGCTCTGAGGGGGGCTCAGGTGCCCCACTGCCCAGGTCCCTCTCCACACCCCACCCCCAGGGATCGAGGACCTTTCTGCCTTCGCACTCCCGGTCAGTCACACTGGTCTTTGCTTGCACCTTTTTGGTTTCTTACCCAAAACATAACATGATTGTGTGTCCAGAAAAACACCACTTCAACAGGGCCTGAGGGCCGGCAGTTTACACGGGTGTCCTGTTTGACCTCAGAGCCCTGCTGGGCACCCCCTGGAGGGCTCTGGCTTCTTGGAGCTGAAGCTCCGCTGGGCCCAAGCAGGCTCTGCGCCTGCTGCTGGAAGGGAGTGACCCAGGAGCTGGCTGCCCAGGGCACCCCGCTCTCTGGCGGCCCGGCCAGGACTTGTCTGGCCTGGAGGGTCCCAGCCTGCAGTGCTCTGCAGCCTGGAGGGTCCCAGCCTGCAGTGCAGTGGGTGCCGGTTGCTCCTCCACTTTTCCACGCATCCACCCCACAGCTGTGTTGTCTTTTCCAGTTAATTTCTGGAACATTCTAAAACCAGCATACCTCCCACCACGCACACACGCACCCCGTATTTGCATGTGCCAAGTCTGAAAAGACTTTATAAATGGACTCATGAGTAGCAGATACTTGTATTACCTACTGAGTGTCAGTGGGTCTGTTCAGTGGGAAAGGCCGGGGCAGGGTCCAGGATGGGGGGTGGTTTCCCTGGGGCCCAACGTGGAGACCAGACTGAGGGCTCTGGAGGCGGAGCTGAGGGGCCGGGGCTACAACCTGACTCTCTTTCCAGCCTCAGACCGGGGAGGCTCTGGTGCTCCTGGTGCAGGTGCAGCTGAGCCCAGAGTCCCCTTCAAGGCTCAGAGGCGGCTCAGGGAGGCCGTGAGCGGTCGTGCACCACAGTGAATTCATTCCTTCTGCCACTAATGAGTTCAGAGTCTCTCACCCCCAGAAAGAGAAGGGGTCAGGGAGAGGACCCCCAATTGTGCTGAGATCTACTTTTTCTTCCATTTTTCCCAGACTCTTGGTGCATGCCCTCCCACTTGCACACTTGTGTGTGCCCACCCAGACACACACACACACACACACACACACATGCACACGTGTAGACTCCGGGCTCCTCTCCTGCCAAGGAGACAGAGGGAAGCTGCTGCGTGCTCCACGGGTCAGGGCCCGCCTCCGAGGACAGGAGGGCCGGCTCCTACCTGGGCCCACGGGCGCACGCACCTGGTGCCCCAGGTCGGTCCCGCTTCCCCCAGCCCCACACCAGTGGGCGTCTGTGTCGTTTCCCCAGAGCTCTTCAATGGCCACTGTGAACGTGTTCCCCCCGTGATCGTCCCGGGTGGACACTGCTGCACCTTTGCTCTGACCCAGTGGCTGTAACGAGGGTTTCGCAGGAACCCCGGTCCTCTCCGCGGCACCACCACTTATGGTGGGTTTCCCACCCTGGGTCATATCGACACCTAACGGTCGACGAATCCCCCCTCGATCCTTCCGCGGACCGTGGGCCGGGCCCGAGATGGAGAAAGAGAAACCCACCCTCCACCTCCTTCCCGGGCCCGGGGCTGGGGGTCCGCCAGCGCCTCCCCGGGGCCACCCGGAGCCTCCGCCCTTTGCCCTCCGCTCTCCGCCCCAGTCTCTCACATCCCTCCTCCTGTTTGCTCCTTAGTCCATGGCACTATTTCTTTTGCTGTCACCTCTCTTGCAAAGGTCCCCTTTGGGCTCCTAACCCCTCACGTCCTTGAACGCACCCTTCCCCACCAGCCCGCGGTCCCCAGAGCTGTGAGGTGCCCCTCAGGGCTGCCTGCACCCCCACGCCCGACACTCTGCACCCACACAGCTGCAACCCCGACTCCACACATGCGATCAGGTTGCAGGTTGCACACGCACACTCATTGCACACACTCGCTCACACATGCACTCTTTTCCTTTCACCCTGACGACTGTGCCCTGTTCTGTCTCCGTACCTTCCGTCCAGCTGCCCCCCAGACTGGAGTGCTGGCTCTCTGCTGTAATGAGTCAAATCTATCCATTCCTCAAGGCTCAGCTCAAATGTCACCTCTTCTGAGGCTCGCAGATTCTGAAGCCAAATAGCCCTCCTGATGCCACCAGACTACTTTGTACCTTTTTCTGCCATCGCACTGACCACACTGACGATGGTCCCCTCTTTGCTTTGTCCTGAGCAGAGACTCAGACAGGCAGGTGAGCCCGATGGAGTGACAGTCCAGAGATCATGTCACCCCGGCTTTGCTGTCTGTCCCCTCCCAGTACTCTGAACACTTTAGAAAAGGGGGCTCAGCTCTGACTATGAATCACCACCAGCTGAGGAGGCTCTGAAACAGCCCAGGTTCCTGAGCCCCCTTCCCTGAGAGGGTCTGAGCTGGAGCCCCAGCTTCTGAGCTTCTGAAGGTCCCCAGGGCTGGACTCACTGGTTGGTCCCTCCCCCTGTGTGTGTGTGGGGGGGGGGGCAGAGCCAGGGGGAGGAACGCTGTCCTGACAGGGGTGCTTCTGCTCCTTTCCCACCTGACAGAGCACCAGGGAGTCGGCAGACACCGGTTTCCATGTCACTGAAAGTGTCTGGATGCTGGACTGGACCTGTCCCTTCCCCAGGACTGACCCTCTCTGTGTCCGCCCAGCCTCAGTCATGGCTCCTCCCTACAGCCCCGCCCCACTCACCTGGGAGGAGCAGCAGGAGCAGAGCTGGGAGCAGCCACATGGTCCTGGTGCCACGTTCTCTCCCTGGGGACCGACAAATGCCAGGGACCTCCAGGACTGAACGGAGCCCAGAGGGAAACTGCTTCTGATTTGTCTGAATCATTACATTTTGTCTCTCTCCTCTACTTCCCTCATTCGTTGTCCTCAGTTACTTCCTCATTTCATCAATTAGGACAAAAGCAGTGTGATCACTGTTGAGTGTACCACTGGTGTGTCTTCAATGACTTGGGGGAAGCAAAGTGTCCAGGCCTGGCCAGGGCTCCGCTTGCCCCTGGGAGTGTGAGGAGCCGAGAAGGTGGGGCCAGCACCGGGGGCAGGACATGCAGCGGAACTGCCCACAGGAGCTCTGAGCTGGGGCCCAGGGAGTGAGGGAGACGGCAGGGTGTGCACTTGGGAAGGACGCAGAGCTCAGGGCTGACACCCAGCCTGGCAGCAGGAGCAGTCCTGTCCCCAACCCGCCTCCAGGCAGCCCCTCTGCAGGGCTTCCTGCCCTGTCCCCTGCCCCTCCCTCAGGACAGCTTCCTCCCAGTCGTGGGTCACCCTGAAGCAGAGACCACCGTGGGGACATGATGTGAAAGGAGAAGTGGCCTTTTCCCTTCGTTCTCATTTTGTCCTGGGTGGTTCTTCCTACATCTCTGCATGTTTCACTGGCTGTGGGTTCCACTGTGCTGGGGACACCGTTCACTCTGACCACCTCCTGAGGGACGGTCCCTTGCCTCCCCCTCTTTCTGCAGAAGGTTCCCTCTCCCTCTGCTTGCTCTCCTGCCCCCCCTACCCCCTCTCCTGGAGTCTGTCCTAGGAGGGGATTGTCCCTTCCTGGGCCCTCACACAGGATGTCACACACAGGCCTCCTGGCGCCCGATCTCCAGATCAGTTCCGGCTCCCACTGCCAGCGCCTGCTGACACTCTTGCAGAACTCAGGCGAGCTCAAACCGCATTCCCGACCTTCTGTTCTGCTCAGTCAATCTGTCACAGCACCTGATCCACAGGTCCAGGCCCCCCGCCCCCGGCCTGTCTCTGCGTAATTAGCCTTCCTAAGGTGAAGTCCGCTGGGCGTCCTTCCTGCCACCTGTCCCCCATCTAGGGCCTCACTGGGTGGGGGCTTGGAGGTGGAGTACACAGGGCGTTGGCAGCTCAGGGAAGCACCCGTCCCTGTTTGTGTCTGGGGCTCAGCCTTGCCCCAGGGTTGGGTGTCCGGGTGAGCGCAGAAGCCTGCAGACAAGAACATTCCAAGGGGGCGGCGCAGGACCGCAGGGGAGGCTGGGCTCCTCCCAAGCTCCCTCTCTGAACAGTTACTGGGGTAAAATGGAGATACAATAAATGGCATACATTTAAACTGTACAGTGTGAAAACTTTTTTCCTTTTTCTAAAATTAGTTTTTCATACAGTAAAATCCATTTTCTTTCAGAGTTGTACGACAAGCTTCATTTCACGGAACCGACCCAGAAACATGTCAAACAATTCTGTCACCTCCCCCACGAGGTTCTGGACTGTGGATTCATGTCTGTGGGCCTGGGGGTCAAGCCCTGACACCAGACAGACAGGGGCTCCCAGGCTCCAAACTCAGCTCCACCATCTCAGAGCCTTTGAGGCACCTTTCAAATCTGAACTGTGTGCGCCACCCAGTGGCCAGTCCTGGGTATTCTCCTCAGGCCTGGTCAGGCAGTAAGCCTGGGAGTTCCAGGGTCCCTTTCTCTCCTTTCTTAAAATGATTATTTATTTTCCAGGTACAGCTGACATAGAATGTCCTAGTGGCTTCAGGTGCACAACCCCGTGATCAGACACATACACAACCCTGATGCATCTCGCACCCACGGGACAGCAGCTACAGTTCCGAGGACGCTATTCACTGTGCTCCTTACACTGCACTGCACACCCCGTGCCTACCCCATCACTACCTGTGTGCACCTCTCAACCCTTCATCCTCTCCACCCCCCACCTCATCCCGCCTGGCGACCATCCACACGTCCTCTGTATCCACGCGTCTGCTTCTATTCTGCTCCTTCACTTACTTTGTTTTTGAAAGTCCACATCTAAGCCAATCACATGGCATTGGGCTTTCTCTGTCTGACGTCTTTAACTCGGCAAAATACCTCTAGGTCCGTCCACGTTGTTGCAGATGGCAGATTTCATTCTTGTTTGGGACCGAGTCGCCTTCTGGTGTGCCCATGTGCCCCTGCTCTTTGCCCACTCCTGTGCCGATGGGCGCCTGGGTGGCTTCTGCTCTTGGCTACTGCAAATAATGCTGCAATGGTGTCTCTTGATTTAGTGTTCTAGGTTCTTTGGAAAAATATCCGGAAGTGGAATGGCTGGGGTTTTTGTGTGTGTGTGTATTGTTATATCCTTTGTTTTGAAGTCTATTTTGTCTGGTATAAGTATTGCTACCCCAGCTTTGTTTTCCATTCCCATTTTCATAGAATATCTTTTTCCATCATTTTACTTTTAGTCCATGAGTGTTTTCCAATCCAAAGAGAGTCGCCTGTAGATGTCCTATAAGATGTCTTGTTTTCTTATCCATTCAGCCTCCCTGTCTTTTGATTGGGGCATTTAATTCATTTGCATTTAAGGCAGTTGTTGACAGAGCCCTGGCTGGTGTGTCTCACTGGATTGAGTGCTGGCCTGTGAACCAAAGGGTTGCCAGTTTGATTCCCAGTCAGGGCACATGTCTGGGTTGTGGGCCAGGTCCCCAGTAGGGGGAGTGTAAGAAGCGACCACACACTGATGTTTGTCTCCCTCTCTTTAAAAATAAATAAATAAAATCCTTAAAAAGTCATTTTAAAGTAGTTGTTGATAGATATATATTTATTGCCATTTTATTATTCTTATCTTTAAGTTTTCAAATCTTGTTAAAGAAGTCCCTTTAACATTTCTTGTAATACTGGTTTGGTGGTGATGAACTTCTTTAGCTTTTTCTTGTCTGGAAAGCTGTTTATTTGTCTTTCAATTTTAAATGACAGCCTTGTTGGGTTGAGTGGTCTTGGTTGTAGGTCCTTGCTTTTCATCACTTTGAATATTTTTTGCCAATCCCATGTGGCCTGTCAAGTTTCTGTTGAGAAATCGGCTGACAGTTTTATGGGAGCTCCCTTGTAGGTAACCAACTGCTTTTGTCTTGCTGCTTTTCAGGTTCTCACTTGGTCTGTAACCTTCGTCATTTTCATGATACTATGTCTTGGTGTGGGCCTCTTTGGGTTCATCTTGTTCGGGACTCTCTGCACTTTCTGGACTTGTGTGTCTTTTTCCTTCGCTGGGTTGGAGAAGTTGTCACTCATTATTCCTCCAAATAGGTTCCCAAGCACTTGCTCTCTCTCTCCTGGTTCCCCTGTGATGTGGATGTTGGGATGCTTGATGTGGTCTGGAGTTCCCTTACACTATCCTCATGAATTTTTTTCTTTTTGCTGCTCTGATTGGGCATTTCCTGCCACCTTGTTTTCCCATTTGCTGGTGCAGTCCTCTGTTTGTCTAATCTGCTGTTGATTCCTTCTAGTGCATTCTTCATTTCTGACTTGTTCTTTTTTGTGTGGTTTCTATGTCCTTTATTATGCTGTGGAAATTCTAAGTCCCTGAGCATCCTTATAACCATTGCTTTGAACTGTGTATCTGGCAATTTGCTTGGAGATTTCTCCTGTTCTTTCATTTGGGTCATGTTTTTTTGTGTCCCTACCTTGGGGGCCTCTCTGTGCCTGGTGTTGTGCATTAGGTAGAGCTGCTATCTCTTGCATTCTTGGTGGGCTGGCTGTATGCAGTGGGGGTCCTGTAGGACCCAATGGCACAGCCTCCCTACTCACCCAGCTGGGGACTGCAGGTGTGCCCCCCGTGTAGGCAGTGTGCACTCTCCTGCTGTAGTCAAGCTGTTGGCAAGTCCCTGAGAGGGTCAACCCCCACCCCCACCAGGCTGACTGGATACAACAAAGGCAGGGGCTGCAGTGGAGAAGCTGCTGCATGGGGCCCCCCACACACAGCAGAGCAGGACTCACTTCAGTGGGGCTCTCGTGCCTACCGAGTCCACCCCTTTGGTGTGTCACTTGTGGAGGTGGTTGGGTGGTGCTCTGGCATGCTCTGAAGCTGGCCACCAGGTGCGCTTCTGTTCCTGGGACAGCCCAGCAGGTGCAGGCCAAGATCAGCCCCTGCCTGTGCACTTCCCAGCGATATTTGGCATAAGTTACAAAAAAATCCGCAGGTGGCTGCTAGTTGTGCTGGGCCTGGGTGCCCAGAAGAGTCCAGGTTGCAAACTGGGCCCAGCCGCTGTTTGCAGTGAGTGCCAGGCCTGGGCCACTGAGCAAGATGTACAGGGCATGCCAAGGTCAGATGCCGCTTGTTTGGGATTTATGAGCCTTTGAGAGATTTTAGGTAAGTCTCCAGCAGGAGCCCAGATCAGTGGTTTGTACAGAAAGCCCCTAGAAGCAGTTTGGATGGGCCCACGAGTTGGGTAGAGTCCCAGGGAATCAGCAGGGCAGGGAAATGGTATTAGCCAGGTTGATGGAGACTCAGATATGGTGCCCGCCTGTGCCTGCATCAGGCAGGATCTACCAAGGAACGATGCCTTCTGCCAACACTTGTGTCTGAAAGAAAGTCCAGATTCCCTTTCTTAAGCTGCCTCTACTTCCTGATCTCCCCAGCAGCTCGTCCCAGCTTTCAGAGCCTTCTACTCCCCCTCCTGGTGCTTGAGCCAGAAAGCCTGTCTTTTCTCTCCCCAACTGCTGAGCACTTCCTGTGGTTGGTCAGCACCCAGGACAAGCAGAGGACGGAAAAAGACAGGTAGATGCAATTGTTCTCCCTCCTGTCTTCACACCATGGTCCCCCTGGTCAGAAGGACCAGCTCCTTCTGAGTTCCAGCTGGAACTGGAGCTTCTGTACTGGGGCTTGCTGGGGGACGGGTGGGAGAAAGAGAAAAACACACACATGGAGAAAATTCGGGAACTCCCTTCCCTCTCCTTTCCAGTTTCCCTGCTCTGCTCATCCTGAGCTGTCTTGGTCCCTGCTGAGTGTGCAGTTTCAGGACATGGTCACAATATTCCTGTACGCACACAGTGGGGATATGAAAGGAGACAAACCAGAGAACTCAGAGCAGAATGGTCCTACTCCTGTGGTTGGCTTCTCTGGACTTCCTGCCACCATTCATTCAGCAGAGCCCTCAGACAGCGCTCCCCACATCTCATCTGGGCTCTGAGCTGTGGTCAGCACAGGTGATGCACAGAGGGCGCTGACCCTCTCACCTGGAACCAGAAGCCTGTGGTGTCAAACACAAGAGCAAAAAGCTGCCAACAGACTGGGCAGCCATGGATACAGGACTAGTTAACCACAGCAAAGCCACA